AAATTACCTGTATTTTAAAATGCATATGTGTCAGACGGAAGAAACTGAAGCGGCTAAAAAACATGCCAAAATCTCCACGAGTACAAAGTAAAATAAATCTCCACCGGATTCAGATCCAAAGATAGTCTAAATTTATAGTTTATTGTGTTATTAACTGTAATTAACTCGGTTATAAACCCTATAAAGCCTTGAACTTTAATATTGCAGCTAATTTTTTTTTAAGTGTCTGTATTTTTTAGGGTCGCAGACTTATGTAATAGGTGTCTATAGAGATATTGTGGACAGTAACAACCTTTGCAATGTGCCGTACAAAAATCATATCGATTCGTTGAATTTTGACCCTAATTCAATAATTTCTTGATTTTGAACCACAACTAAATTTGTTTGCTCTTTTTAGCCCTTTTTTAAAAGGAATTTGGCTAGATTCGCGGCAACAATTTAATACAGGCCCGCAGTTGGGCACAAGGCTGTGTAAAAATTATGATCTTCTGCATGTAAGTGAAGTTTGATATTTTTTAGGGTGTTCGATTATTCGACTTTTTTCCAAACCCGCTTTTCGGGTTACTCGAGAAATGGCGATTTGAAAAAACCCGGTTCTTAAATTTAAAATTCTGTATATTTGCATTTACTAAATTGCTTGCCTTTGGATAACGCCCACGGCTAGTCACAAACGAAAGACAAAACCGGAATAACCGCCCAATTCTGTGTTTTCTAATATCTATAAAACAAAAAGCTCTACGATTTCCACAAGAATGGAATTGATTTCCACATGAGTGGAACTGATTTTATTGGGTAGGTTCAGAAGGCGCAGCAGTAGAGCGCAACCGTTGCTAAAAAATCAGTGATAGTAATGCGTCTTCTGAACGGCTTGATACATTATCTGTCAAATTCAAAACACACAACATGTTGTCTCAAATGATCAGAAAAATATTACGATCATCTAACACGCAACTGTTCAGTTGATCAGAAGTACAAAACAACGCGTTCAGAAGGTGCAATCGCAACAGTTACTGAGCTGTTGCGCCTTCTGAACGTGCCCATTGTCACATATGAAAAATATGAATTTAAAAGCAAAAAAGCTTTTGACTGCCGAGGCCGAGTAGGTAAAGAGGTCGACTATAATTCCGTGTGTCGCAAGTTCAAATGCCGGCACATGGAGGTTTTAATTGTAAGCAACAAATTTATTAAAATACAAAATTTATACATTTCACATGAAATTTCAATTTGTCAATATCATTTCAATCTTGATAATTTATCAAGAAAGAGCTTTTGATTTCTGTGCTAAAATACCAATTCTTGATAAATAATAAGAAATTGACAACTCATAAAGATTTTCAATTTATCAAGTGCACAGAATCGGGCAGTAAAACTATTAAAATTAGGAAAAACTTTCATTTTGATTTATAGGTAAGCAACATTACACATGGAGTGCAATGGGGTATAGTCGTTGCGCTGGGTATGCAGTTACAGTTGCATGACTATACTCAATCCCGACTCTTGCGTCCTCGCTCGCGCACTCTGGGCACCTTGAAGAACCCATGCGCGAGATGCGATAACCAATCCGAGTGGAACCTTTGCTCACGGCAGAAAGAGAGGCAGCTTCGGTGGGGCCACTCCGACTTATTCGGTTTAAGGGCTCACTGAAGTCTGCAGCGTCTGTTCAGCAGTAGGTGCGGCTGCAAGCGGGTGTCTGCTTGAAGCAAGCGGCTCGCTATATAAACGAGTATTTGGTTGCGAAACCACCCTCGTCCCAGCAATGGGTTGTGCGCTGGGTTTGGGACCCGCTATGTAAAAACCACTTCCAGTGAAGAAGCAAGGCAAAGCCTCGGATGAGACCCCACGCCCCTTATGTTGACGACCACGGCAAACGTTTAAAGTACTACGATTTGAGGGCATGCACCTGGAATGCCCGGACCCTTAATGGAGAAGGTGCCCGGCTGGTTGATGTCCTCGTAAGGACAAACGATGACATCACCGCGCCCATGCCCCGATGGAAGAGAAGGATGAGGCATCCAAGTATCTCTTGTATGAGCGCTTGGGGCGCACGTACGAGCGCTACCCCCATCATGATATCAAAATCGTGCTTGGCGACTTCAATTCCAGGGTGGGCAAGGAAGGGATCTTTGGAACCACCGTCGGAAAATTCAGCCTCCACGACGAAACGTCCGACATCGGATTGAGACTGATCGATTTCGCCGGGGCCCGAAACATGGTAGTATGCAGTACCAGGTTCAAGCATAAAAAGATCCATCAAGCTACGTGGCTGTCTCCGGATCGGAAAACGAGAATCCAAGTCGATCATGTTGTGATAGACGGAAGGCACGCTTCCAGTGTTTTAGACGTACGCACACTCAGAGGCCCAAACATCGACTCGGACCACTATCTTGTTGCAGCCAAGATACGCACCCTCCTCTGTGCAGCAAAAAATGTGCGCCCAAATATGCAAGAAAAGCTTAACGTCGAAAAGCCTCAATCACCACAGACAGCCAGCGCTTTTGCTACTCGACTCTCACACCTGCTCTCAGAGAGCACTCTTCAACAAACCGACATACGCGAGCAGTGGAACCACATTTCCCGCTCATTAAGTACCGCCGCCCGAAAGAACAACTGGTACCAATGTGTATAAAACAAAGTGGTGTTGGGGCGACAGCTGAGTTTTTCGACGTGGAGGCCATTACCTCAAAATGATGTGTTTGTTGTAACTCATACCAATGACAGTATGGACATCAGCGTATAATTTGTTAGTGTAATTTTTTACTTATATACGGCCAACACCACCTTGTTAAATACGCCTTGACTGGTACGATGAGGAGTGTCAGGAAGCTGCAGAGAAAAAAGATGCCGCCTACAGGGCCACGCTGCAATCGAGCGCAACGCGAGCTATGTGTGACCGCTATAGGGTCTGAAGAGGGAAGCGAGACGTATTTGCCGCAATAAGAAGAGAGAGGCCGAAATACGTGAGTGCAAAGAGCTTGAAATGGTGACCGACAGGAAGAATGCCCGAAAATTTAACCAGAGAGTTAGGCGACTTGCGGAAGGTTTCAAGACCGGGCGTACTCCTGTAAGAACAATAATGGCGACCTAGTAACCGATGTCCAGAGCGTACTTAAATTATGGAGGCAATACTTTTCCGCCCTTCTAAATGGTAGCCGCACGGAAAGTTGTGGAGAAGAACCCGAGCCCGCAGTCGATGATGACGGAGTCGACGCTCCACCGCCTGACTATGATGAGGTACGTATAGCAATAACGCGGCTGAAAAACAACAAAGCTGCTGGAGCTGACAGCCTGCCAGCTGAGCTATTCATTTACGGCGGCGAGGAGTTAATAAGGTGCATGCATCAACTCTTGTGCAGAATATGGTCAGATGAACGCATGCTCTGCGACTGGAATTTAAGTGTGCTCTGCCTAATCCACAAAGATGACCCCGCCATTCGCGCCAACTACCGCGGGATCAGCCTCTTAAGCATAGGTTACAAGGTCTTATCGAGCGTATTGTGTGAAACAATGAAGCCCACCGTCAATGAACTGATTGGGCCTTATCAGTGTGGCTTTAGACCTGGCAAATCCACCATAGACCGGGTATTCACAATACGCCAAATCTTGGAAAAGACCCGCGAGAAAAGGATCGACACTCACCACATATTCGTCGACTTTAAAGCCGCTTTTGACAGCACTAAAAGGAGTTGCGTATACGCTGCTATGTCTGAATTTGGCATCCCCTCAAAACTCATACGGCTGTGTAAAATGACGTTGAGCAATACCACCAGCTCCGTCAGAATTGGGATAGACCTCTCCGAGCCGTTTGCACAAAACGGGCTTCCAGGCAGGGCGACTCCCTTTCATGTGACTTCTTTAATCTGATGTTGGAGAAAATAATAAGAGCTGCAGAACTGAACCGCTCATGAACAATTTACTACAAGAGCGTGCAATTGCTGGCTTATGCCGATGACATCGACATCGTCGGTAACAAAAACCGCGAAGTCTGTTCTGCCTTTTTCAAGTTGGATAGGGACGCAAAGCGAATGGGTCTGGTGGTAAACGAGGACAAGACGAAGTATCTCCTGTCATCAAACAAACAGTCAGCACATTCGCGCCTTGGCACCCACGTCACTTTTGACAGTTACAATTTCGAGAAAGTAGAGAATTTCGATTATTTGGGATAATAATGTCAGCATTGAAATCCAACGCAGAATCACTCTGGCCAATAAGTGCTACTTTGGACTGAGTAGGCAATTCAGGAGTAAAGTCCTCTCTCGATGTACGAAAACCACTCTATAAGTCACTCATCATGCCAGTGCTGGTAAATGGCGCAGAAACTTGGACAATGGCAACATCCGATGAGACCGCTCTTGGAATATTCGAGAGAAAGATTTTGCGGAAGATTTACGGGCCCTTACGCGACGGCGAGTACCGCAGACGATGGAACGATGAGCTGTATAAGCTTTACAACGACATGGACATAATGCAGCGAATTAAAATACAGCGGCACCGCTAGCTTGGCCATGTCGCTCGAATGGACACCAGCGCTCCAGCTCTGAAAGTATTCAACTCGGAACCCGCTGGTGGTAGCAGATGAAGAGGGAGGGCCCCCACTGCGATGGAAAGATCAGGTGGAGAAGGACTTGGCTTCACTTAGCGTTTTTAATTGGGCGAATAACCGCCCAAAAATGTTGGGGAAACCGACTAAAACCGGTTTGGGAAAACCGAGTCAATCGTCTTAGTATTTATGCATGTATTTTTCCTTCCCTTTGGCTATCAACTACATATCTAACTTATCAAGCTTTTGATTTTATTGAATTTGATTGTTGTTGTCATATATTTAGATATCCTAATATACATATTTTAGTAAATGAAGCTATGTACATACATACATATATTGATATGAAATTCCTTTAATTAAATTTTCATACATACATATTTGCAAAATTGTAATCTATGCAGCAATGAAAATATATAAAAATTGGTATTCGTATTAAATTTCTTCGAAATTATTCACTTACCCTTTGATGGTATTTCCGGCCATGCAGCGACAGTCGCTAGTAAAAATATGCAGTTACAGGAGTGCAGAAGTTTTTCCGCGTTTATACGCATCGTTAAGCAAGTTTCTTGTAGCTTTATTTGTAACTATTTTTATTTATTCGAAAGATTAATGCAGTTCACGTTTTGTCTATTTTGAGATTACGTACTTTTTTAATCAGCATTTGTAACTGCACAAACACAATTTTTAGACATTTCTGTATTTTCTTTTACTTACTTTTTGATTGATTATTTTAATTTATGTTTTCAATGCTTCTCAACATATTTTTTAATCGGTTTTTAGAACAATTTAACGGTGTGATTTCTTAAAATTTCCTGCAAGTATAAAAATTGTTTACAATATAATGACACTACTAACATTGTAGATCTACATATTTATTTGAACAACTCAGGTGGAAATTGTATATAAACATACATATAATGTAAATCTATACCACTACAGTTTAAGGGGAATACTATTTTTTAATCAACTAAGTATTTTTTAAATGGTATAGACTGTAGTTAGCCAACGTGTTGCAACGAAGGAATTATTTTCTAAATTTTAAACCGACTTCAAAAAGAGAAGGAGGTTATCAATTCGCCGGAATATTTTTTTATGTATGTTACCGCATAACTTTGGACCGCATTAACCGATTATCATAATTCTTTTTTTTAATTTTAAAGAAAAGATGGTTGTGAAATATTGCAAAAGTTAGTCAAGATATTTTATTTGATCAGCTTTTAAATATCATAGGTTAAGATTAATAATTATGCATGCGCTGGTGATAAGAGATATCTTAAGAGAAAATAAACAATTATAAAGCACCGAACTTATAGAATTATGTTAACGATCGCTCGCACATGTGCGATCACCAATCTAGTGACCCTATGTCAACTAGGAATGTTAATCCCTGGATCCCGGGATCCCGGACTTTTTAAGCACCCCTATTCTCATTAATTGAATTAAGTCGTAAATAAAAACATCAACGGCAGACTTTGACACGTTTTCAATACTTCGTCATTTCGAAAGGATAATAGGAATACAAATTTGTAGTGGATTATGTCATTCGTTGCCTCATACCGCCAATGACAGTCTCAAATTTCGACGAACGACTTAGCGAAATATTTACTAGAACTTTCCGTTAAGAAGTGAATTTTTTCTAAAAGTACTGACAACTATTTTCTCCCCCTGTAACGCTATAAAGTTTTAAATTAACCCTTCCATCCCCCACCTGAGCGCTGTTTCGTTCGTCTTGACTTTCCTGTCACCCCCTTTATTTATTTAACTCTTTTACCGAACACCCTATACAAGTAAATTAAACTGGTACAGTACTTCAGCAGTATTTTCGGAAAAATTTTCAGCAGTAGTACATATTTATGTATTTCAAATGGTCACTGCCAAGGCCGTCTTTCGGGGGGTTGTAGGTGTTCTATAGTAAAATTGGGTTTTTAGTTTTTCACACTGACGTCAGTAATTCAGAAATGATTTAAACAATTCAGTGAAATGTCCTTAGAGAAAAAGTATGGGTTCCAAATTGAAGAGGAAATTCTGTAGAATTTAAGCGGATTAAATTTTTGGTGCATAAGGACTGGTAAGTATTTAAAATGTATCCCTGTAAAACTTTTTAAAATTGTATCCCTGATATTTCGCAATATTTGTTTTTGAAAAAATTATATGTTAAGGACTTATAAAAACTCGATAACATCCTCGAATTTAGTCGTTCTAACTTTATCATTTTAAAACAATTACCTATTCGTCCTTGAGAATCCAAACAATTTTAATGTTTTTTTTTTTTTTTTTAATTCTAAAGAAATTTCCTCTTTGATTTCATATGCTTGAAATAACTAACAGCCGCACTCAGAGTCGTTTAATGATTACTTAAGGTGTCCCTCAGTAACGATTTGAAAAAATTCCCTCTCAGAGTCAGTTAAATACTCGTTAACGGCATTTAATGGACATTAAAGTTAAGTAAACAAAAACCTTTACGTAACTTTTTAACGAATGATTTTGAAATTTTTTGTTTGTTTTCAATAAATTTCAATTTCGATAACGTTGCTGTGACAGTTGCAATGGCCCAGTGAGCAGAGCACATTCGTGCTATTCGAGAGATCCGAGTTCAATCCTCGGCAAGAGAATTTTTTTTAATACAATTTTTTTTTAAATTTGATGGCTTTAAAAATTCATATTTTTTATTTTATTTACCATTTGGAAACTTTTGATTCATCTTTTTTCTTTCGCTTTCAATTCCCCAAATTTGTAGTTTTTCCTGTTTTAAAAAAATATTTTTTTTCATTTCGTTTAGTTCTTGGAAAACTTAATGCTAAACCGTAAATATAATAACACTATTAAAGAGCATAACTTTCAATTAGTTATTCGAAATACAGAAAGGGGCTTTCAAGATAGTTGCCGAAATATAAAGACTTTTTTCTCTCGAAAGACTGAGGCTGATGCCAGAATTGGCCTGTTATTGGTCTTGTTTGTTTTTTTAATCTAATTAAATTAACAAAAAATTTGTTTCCTTTTTAAAGCAATAAAATCTATAAATCAAAAGAAAATTAGATCAAAAAAGCAAACAAATTCAATAAAGATAGTTTATAAAAAATAAACAGGAAAAAATATAAATAAAAAGGAAAAAGAAAATTTTCCCGCCCTAGGACTCGAACTCGGATCTCTCGAATGGCACGCCAGCGCTCTGCTCACTCAGCCATTGCGTCTGTTGAGCCAGTGCGCGCAAAATTATATAAATACTTATTTTTATATTTTATTTCAAACTGAACGAAAAAAGTGAGTGATGCCACAAAAATGAAGGGCCGCAACTGGGGCCATACTTAAATTTTTTATTTCATAATTTTTAACTCTGAGAGGAAACATTAATTAACAGATTTAACGATCATTAGTTAAGTGCCCATTAGAGCTTATTTAAGGAACCATTCTGAGTGCGGCAGTAAGTCTTTTAAAATAAATCCTGACGTCGGAGAGAAAAAATAAAAATGCCACTTTAAATAATAAAGTAGGTTTCAAACCCATTTATTCATTATTTATTTTATGGTGGAAGAGCTTCTCAAACAATATAGAAGCAATTTTTTTCAATTTAAGTTGTTGAAAATAATGGATCTCGGGATTATGAGAATGACATCCCGAAAATCTCGGGATCGTAAAAAACGAAAAATTAATATCCCTAGTACATACCGTTATGTATAACGTGCATGCCCAATTAAATATATAAAAAAATACATACAGTGGACAAAAATTATAGCCAAGTTTTAACGTATTATTTTTGTTGCTATTAAATTTTGGTTATTTATTTTTTTATAAAAATAGAGTTCATTCTTTAACTGACCCCGTAAAAATCAAGGTTTCCAAATTTGTTTTTAATTCTACTTTTTTTATAATTCTAAAAAATTTACTAGAATTCAATGGGCTACAAAACTGCATACTCAGAATCTAATTAATAACTCGAAATTTTTACGAAGATTTGTTGAGTTTTTTTTTTAAATTGCATAAATTTTTAAGGTAGTGTCCCGGGATTGGTACATTTGTACAGATTTGTGCATTTTTATATTAGGCTATTGGTGCAAAATGAAAAAATTGGGATTTTTTTTTTGTAGTCAAAAGATTGGTAAAATACAGCAATCTTCTTTTGAAAAATTTCAACAAATTATTTCTCGTGATTGGGATAAAGAAAAATATGTATTTGGGTATTCATTCAGTATGGATACGATTTGGACCAAATTTCGGAAAATACCCAGTCGTGTGACACTGCCTTTAAACTTGTGTTAATACGGATGTTGTTAAAAAATGGACTACAAAAAAATAACCACATTTAAATAACAACAAAAATAATATTGTAAAACTTGTCAAAATTTGGTGCGGCTATAATTTTTTCGACTACTGTACATAAGTTGACTATTATTACTCGGCCGTGCAATCATAGTAGCACAATGCCACTAATATTTGACTCACAAACAAAATACGGGCACAAATTTCAAAATTTTAACCCTGTTTGCGTGAAATATTTTATTTTTATCAGTATTTTTCTTATTATCCCCCCCCCCCCCCCACGACCACATTTTCTACTAAATGTGTCTTAACATCTGTCAAATTTCTGTTTGACGTTGTCTCGTTTTCTCATGTGGGCAACTTGCTGTCTTAACATATAACTTTCAAAATGGCATCAAGTCAAACAGATCGATATATACCCATCGTAGATGGCGCAGTAAAATGAAAACTGAGTTGTCAAACTACTAAATGACAGCTAATGTTAAGACGGAGATGGTAAGAAATTCGGTAAGGCATATATGGTTTAACAGTGGAAGTCTTCGATCTCCACCTGACATTTCTGTCTTACCACAGCTTTTTTAACAGAATCTGTAGAAGAAAGAGACATGGGGTTAAGACTCGCAGCACCTTTTTAACAACCTAGAAACTTTCATTGCTTTATACGAAGTAATTTAAAGCGTAAAAGTTACGTAAACGTTACGTAATCGTAAGAACCGTTTTCAGTCTGTAAGCTTAGCATCATCAACTGTTTAAATTGTAATTAAACTCGCAAAAACTAATATGTGAATTTGAACATTTAAGTCTGAGAGAGCATTTGCCGTGTAAGCTTGAAGTTGATAGCGTTTTTATATTTTAAATGTTACTCCTTTTATTACACATCAGCTTGTATCAAAGTTTTAGTCCTATGAGAAGCTGATAGTAAACAGCGGAACATCTCAAGAAAGCACTCTCAACTTCAAGTTTGTGTTCTAAATGCTCCCTAAAGCATTTTTAGAAAATTTCCAACAAGTGCGCCAGCTAAATTAGTACCTACTCCTTTTTCAACCATTTAGCCTCCGTATTACTATGTTAGCACAAGTACAGTTATTAACAGGTGTGAACACAAAAATTTGGTCACCTCTAATCTTCTAAGTAAGTGCTAGCAGGCACAGCAACATGTAATCATCATTTGCACTTTCCTGGCGCGCCAGTAGCAGCAATTACTCGCTATTACACACTCATTCAAATACACGTTTTGAAAAGCACGTATGTATGTATGTATGTTCAGCACTGGACTTAGTTCACGAACATCAAAAGCCTCATGCTTTCATTTTACTGGAAATAGCCTTTCGGCACTGGAATGCATTCCATGCTTGCCTTTAGCCTAAAATTAGGCGTAGTAGCGTCTTAACAGTGATGGCCTTAAGAGCC